GAGTACCCAATGCACTTAGCTCCTGGAGGTTGATTGCATGAATGAGAGACCCAGAGGAAAACTGAGCTTGTGAGCAAAACACAGTAACCACACTGGGCTGAAATGTTCCTTTGCCCAGTGTAGGTATGATTAGAGGCATTTCCAGAAGGTTCTGTAATGTGGAGGCATTTGCAGAACTTTTTAGTGTAATTTCCAGAAGGATGGGTTGGGGTGAGAGGAGGATGCAGTTGCTATAAAGAATCAGCTTCCTGGGCAGGGAAGTCTTCTGCCAAACATGCCACGCATGGGCAGGAGCCCAGAAATCTGGGAATAGACAGAAAAGGCAAAGTCAAGGTGCGTGCTTACTGGCTGGAGGCTTGGGAATACCAGAGAAGAGAAAGCAAGGACGATCCTAAAATTGAAGCTCGTCTTTATAATTTGGCCCCTATTTCATCTAAATTACTCTGGAGGCTGAAGTCATCCTGGTAACTACAAGGAAGCCTGTTCCTCCACAGTTGTAGGGTGGCTTCCAGGCTGTTGCCTCTTTTTGAGGCGAGAAAGGCTTAGGTTTGACTCTTGCTCCTGCAGAGATCACAGTTGGGTAGAGCATGCAAACAAAGACAGAACATGGAGTCACCAGTTCCTAGAGGATGGGGTAGTTGCACTTCCTCGGTCCTCATGTAAACATGCTGGGCTGGTTACTTAAAACACTGGGTTTCAGGGGGCTGGAGAAATGGCTCAGCAGTTAAGAACACTGACTGCTCTTCCCGAGGACCCGGGTTCAATTCCCAGCACCCACATGGCAGCTCACAACTGTCTGAAAATCCAGTTCCAGGGGATCATGACACCTTCACACCAATGCACATAAAATAAAAAAAAGATAAAACACTGGGTTTCTTTCTAGTTTCCAAGGAAAATGGAGGCAGAGGAAATTTCTCACAATATTCCCAGGGTTATAGAGCTAGAACCCAGACTCTTACCCCATATTCAAGCCTTGACATCATATTTCAGGGGTGTCCTGGGATGCCCAGAAGAAGTAGGAGGTGCAGGAAGAGTCCCTTCTCAGAGTACGTCATTAAAGATGTTCTGTCTCGAGTGTGGCACGTGGTTTCAATGCCCGCTTCTGTACCCTGATATCTCAGATGTGGTAGCTCCTTTTTCCTGCTCGCTTACGAAGCAGATCAGCAAACTTCAAGTCCTTGCTTCCCTATGCCTTTGTCTTTGTCAAGAAATGCTGATTCAGATAGCTGTGGTGGCTCATGCCTGTGATCCCAGCACTCGAGGAGCTGAGGCAGGAGGATCACCACAAGCTCAAAACCATCCTGGGCTACAGATGAGACTTTATCTCCAACAAACAAACCGACGTTGACTCCATCCTTTTGTATGAACAGCTAAACAGTTTTACCTCCATCAGCGCCTCTTTGAATCTCACATCTCATGTCCAGCTGTTCAGGACAGCACGTGGCTCTGCCTTCCAGAGAGAGCACAACCAGGCCATTCTGAACGTGTTCTTGTTAAAGCCACTCCTCTCTTGCTTGGGTGACTATCATGGCCCCATCCGACTTCCTTACTGCTGACAAAGCAGCAGTCCGGTGCTGTCAACATGGAAGTTAGATAGTGCCATCCTCTGCTCATAGGCTCCAGTAGCATCCCTGATGGAGGAAGGTCATTGGCTAATAAAGGAACTGCCTTGGCCCATTTTATTGGTTGGAAGATAGGTGGGAGGAGTAGGCAGAACAGGACGCTGGGAGGAAGAGGAAGTGAGCTCAGTCTTGACAGCTCTGCTCTCTGGAGCAGACACCTGAGAGAGACGCCATGCCCCGCTCCCAGGATGAAGCTCCGACCCAGGATGGACATAGGCTAGAATCTTCCCAGTAAGCGCACCTTGGGGTGCTACACACAGATGATTAGAAATGGGCTAAATTAATATGTGAGAATTAGCCTAGAAGAGAATGGGCCAAGCAGTGTTTAAATGAATACAGTTTGTGTGTTGTTATTTCGGGTATAAGCTAGCCGAGCAGGCGGCTGGGGTGCTGGGGACGCAGCCCCGCCGCTCCAATTACTACACATCCCATTGCGGCCCAAATGTATGAAGGGACGTGCTGGTGCTCAAGACTGGGACTCACCACTACTGACCTTGTTAAACACTGGGCTCCTCCAAGCTTATGCTGCCTTCTTCCCCAGCCACCTTAGCGTTCTCCCACTTTCTAAATTCGCCGTTGATGTTCCCTTTGTCTGGGACTTTCCCTCTGATGCAGACATGTTGCCTCTCCCGGAGGGACTGATTCACTCCAGGATGCCTTTCCATCACATAAGTTAAAGTGACCCTACATCCCGATTACATTTTTTTCTCTAATTTAATTTTCTTTATTATAAAATTTCACCTGACATACAGTAAGTTTATTTATGCTTTAATAGACTTATAAATACCAGGAGGTCAGAGTTTTTATTGCTTTCCACTCTTTCCCCAGCATTGCCTAGCAGGGTGGCTGAAAGAGAATAGACAGGCTCATGTATTTGAATACTGGGCTCCCAGTTGGTGGAAGGGTTAGATGTAGCCTTTGGGGGAGGTGTGCCACTGGGGTGAGCTTTGAGGTTTCAAATACTTATACCATTCCCAGTTAGCTCTCTCTCTCTCTCTCTCTCTCTCTCTCTCTCTCTCTCTCTCTCCTTTGTGGTCGTTATCCCAACACGTGAGCTCTCAACTGTTGTTCCATTGCCAGACCTGCCTGCCTGCTGCCACGCTCCCCATCTTGGACTCAGCCTCTGAAACTATAAGCCCAATAAACTCTTCTATAAGCTTTCAAGAAATGAATAGCTCAAGACCGAATCAGGACTTCTGGTATTCACTTGCCCCAGCCCCAGCAATCCACAGGAGTTCCCTAGGACAAAGGGCTTGACAGAGACTTCCCCTGAACAATCTTTTCTTTCATACTCTCCAGAGGTAAGCTCATGGAAACTGTCAGCTAGTATATAATATGCACATCCCAAGTACAATTTTCAGTCTGGTATTAGTGCTCTTAGGAATGTCATTAATGGAGAGGTATGTTGCAAGAAGATCAAGCAATAGACCTTGGAGAAATGACCCAGACTGGCTAGGAATGGTTCATGGAGAATAGCTGAAGGATGGTTTGCTCTTGAAAGAATGAAACTGGGCATCCCTAAGACCTTGAGCCAACATGAGTCTCAGTAGAGAAGGTATTGTAAGCTCTGACAATAATTCAGCTGTTCCTATCTATCTATCTATCTATCTATCTATCTATCTATCATCTATCTATCTATCTCCCCTCAACAGCATATCCAACCACCTATTCATCCACTTATAGTCTACCATCCACCAACCTACCCAAACCGTTTATCCCTCTATCCACCCATTCACTATCCCTCCCATCCATCCAGCTGTCCATCCATTCATCCGTCCATGAGCCACCCACTTTCCATCTTCTCCATCCACCACCCACTTACTTACATAAGTAAGCAGACATTTATTCACCCACTTATCCTTACTTCCTTCTGAATACTATTCTTCCAGTACCACATGGGTTTAGTACACACACTGTGCCCTGGGCCTTGTTATAGTTCTAGGGGCACAAAGATGAATTAGATCTGGTCCTTCTTGAAGGCTCATGGTCCAGTTAGAGAGGCACCCACCAAACATACTATTCATAGATGTGGGCACATCATGAGGCCTCCGAGATTTAGAGAGAGAGAGAGAGAGAGAGAGAGAGAGAGAGAGAGAGAGATAATGGGACGATTTCCTGGCAGTGAATAAAGACCTCAAGCTGAGACAAAGGGCGTAAAACACAGGGCCTGGTGAGATGGGTAGCAAGGAAACTTATAGCAGAGAGGAGAGCCTAGAGGAGGCACAGGAGGGAAGAGATGTGAGCAGCACTCTGGGCTTGGAGCTGAAGTGACTTTCCCAAGCTAGACATGGTCCAGGTCTTAGGAATCTGGAGAAGGGTGGGTGGAGAGGTGGGAGGGGCCCTCTACACCCAAATGAGCAGAAGCATCAATAGTTTAATTGGGAGCTTTCGGGAATGGTTTCTTCAGACTCTGACAAGCTCCCTAAGGAACACAAGGCAAGCAGCAGAGCAAGTAGATGATGGCAAGAAACTTGACTATGTAAGAGTACACGGAGGAGCCAGGTTTGCCTTATCCCAAGAGCAGGAAGCCAACAGTTACGCAACACATCATTAACAGACTGGAAGCACGGGACGCTTCCTGCCCTAGAGACAGGAGATGCCATGTTCCACAGTGAGACCACCACGGAGCACTTGCCAGAGGGATGTGGCAGAGAAGGGTGTGGGCTCTGAGCTGAGGATCCTCTCCACATTGTGATGGGGGGGGGGGGTGAGGGGTCTGAGAGGAGCAGAAGAGGGGGGCAGATAGAGAGACAGAGAGATAGTGGGGGACAATCAAGGTGTCAGGATCTGAGAGCACCCATTCTCTTGGCCTCTGCTCAGTGGTGGAAAGAAAATCCGATTTTCACAAGCCCATCGTCCCTCCTTACACTTCCTCCTGTGGTTTGTCTGCATTTGCCTCTGGCTTTGTTGGGACTGGGGGAAACATACACTTCTCAGCACGCAGATGCTCAGATGAGTTCTCGGTGGGGCGTGGTTGGTAATAATTTAATTAGCCCAGCTTTTTTGGGAAAAAAGTGTTAATTAGTTTTTGCTTAAAATACACATCTTGATAACCTCTTCTTCTCCACTTTTCTCCCCTGAGTGAAGCCCCGATTTTCCATCCACACTCTGCAGCAAGCCCCAGCCTGGGCACCACTGCTATTAAAAGGAAAGGAAATTAAAAAAAAAATAGTTTGTATAGTCATGGATTATGTCATGTGACGAATATAATTCCTGGGTCTCTGAGAGATGGAAAGGTGGAGGATCCCACAGTCACTTGCAAGGAGCAGCCTCTGATGAGTGCCGGACCTCAGGTCTGCGGCCATAGCCCAGCTCTGGAGGTCTTGGGAGATGGCTGAAGAATACAGGGTAGAGGTTAAAAGGTGTAGCCAGAGCATCTCAGACAGACGGGAAGAGATCTCGCCAGGTGAGGCCATCCCCGCGAGACTTGTCTAGCCACCTGCCACAGGAGAAGATGGTGGCCACTCCGGTGCTAGTGTTGGTGACCTCCACCTTCTCCACCAGCCAGCCTGAGTAGTAGCCACTGGCGTCATGCTCCAGCCGGACCTGGCGCAGCTCTCCCAGCTCTAGCGTCTCCAGGAAGAAGCGGTCAGTGCTGCCCCGCTCGAAGAGGTTGCGCATTTTCTGTTTCAGTTCCCGTTTGCCCGTGTCCCCATTCGCTCCAAAGATGGTCACAAAGACGTTGGCGTCTGTGCCCGCCCCTGGTTCATAGCCCGTCGTCACGATGATCTCGTACTTGACTGGTACCAGGCTCTGGATCTTACTGGCGAAGCTCTCTGTCGTCTTAGTAACCTCAAATACCTTGAAGTACTTCCTCTTCCTCTTGAGGGGGATGAGGCAATCACAGTTAAAGAAGTACCTGGCAGAGCATTAAAGAACACACAGACATCAGTTCAGGAGATGCCCCAGAGGGTCCCTTCACCTCCCATAGCCTCCAACCATCATTCCAACCAAGATACCGAGGGAAGTTGGATGCCCCATCCTTCCAGTTGCTCCTTGTTTCTTTTAATTCTGCTCTTGTTCTTTATATTCCACATGAAATCCAAAACCCAGACCTGTTGGTCCTGTCTTTCAAATGCACCTAGAACGAGCTGGTCTGTTCCCCTACCCCACCTCCTAGTATCTCCCTGCTGACTCTGCTCTGGTCCAAATCACCATCCTTTTCAAGACGAATGTCTAGGACCTGTTAACTGGGCTTTGTGCTTTTTGCTCCCTAGCTCTGGAATGAACAACTGCTTCCGGGTCTTCCCAATCCAAATTGGTGTAGCAGGCGGTCTTCTAGGCCCCTCTGAACTCTCAGCAGCTGTGATTTCCCCACCCAAAGGAGACTAACACAAGATGGAACCCATTATCATTCCTTCAACACATGAGGTCCCACCTCTTCCTGAGCATTTATAGACGGTTAACCATTGCTCAGGGGTGGGAGGGCTAATAAGGTCCTGTCCCTTCTTGAGAATTTGTAGGTAGTTAATGGTTCTGATGGGATGTTTCATGAAGTCCTGCCCCTCTCTGGAGACAGTTAGCTTGTCAGTTCTTGGAGGAGAAAGTTTTTCTCCAGTTTCTTAGCTGTTTATTACTTTCATAAGCTCTTTTTAAGTAACCCCAATTAAACTCACTGGTTCACCAGTCTAGACATGGATGGAAAAGCCTTTCTTTGTCCTGCCATTGGTTTCCTGTCTGGAGTGAATAGCTCTTTGCTCATATCCACAGGAAATGTTCACACAACACTAATAATTCAGCAGAGTTTGAAATAAGCAGTCCCGGTGCTTGCTAATGACTTCAGGAAGGCAACAATGAAAAAGTGTGCCCAGAGGTGAAGACACCGGGGATAGCTGGAGAGCAGCCATCCTGAGAGGCACTCCACAGAAGCAGTGGCAAGGAGCCAGCTTTAGGAGATTCCTTCTGGGCCAGCTGCTCGGTTCACACTGCGAACCCAGAGCAAGTGTCCAGGACTAGACTGCAACGCTGTTGGCAGAATACCTCTAGATCAAATAGAGGAAGGAAGCGTGACTTGAAACTGCAGTGTTCAGCAAAGGGGCAATTTATTCTGGTCCTTAGCCCCCACTGGACACGTGGAAACAGGACCAGCACTTGCCCTCCAACCTGTGGTAGCCTGCACAGATGCAGGACCTGTATCTGCTCTACCTCCAGAAGAACTTCCCAGAGGAAGGATTTAAACCAGTACCCACCCCTCCCTCCGTCCCCCATGAGAACACACACAAGACAGGACCCACAGCACCTGTGCCAAGCGTCTGCCCAGGTGAGAGCACACAGAGGAAGAGGCAGCCCTAGGCACACAGAACACACACAGGTGGATCCTATGCCTGTGATCCACCCCTGAAATGACTAGCACCAATTCCCTCCCTCTGAAACCTCTAGAGAGTCCTCACATAGGCAGAATCAGCACCCAGGTCCTGTAAGGAACAGACTGCACAGGTTGGTGTGGCGTGGGATTGGGAGTCTCCTTGCCCCCATTTCCCGTGTTGAGATTGTTTTAGGTTGCTGATTCATTCTCTCTCTCTCTCTCTCTCTCTCTCTCTCTCTCCCTCTCTCCATCTGAGGTCAACCTTGGATGGAATTCTTCTACCTGAGTATCTGTATAGAGTCTCTTTCTGAGCCAGGGTCTCTCACTGATTAGTCTAGGTTTGTCAGTTACTGGACCTCAGAGAGCTGGCTGTCTCTGCTTTCCCAGCACTGGGATTACAAGTGTGTGGCACCATGCCAAGATTTCTGTGGGTACTGGGAATCAGGCTCAGGTCCTCGTGCCTGCATGGCAAGCTCTTCCTGACTAAGCCATTGCCTAGCCCCAACTGTATTCTTTTACTACATTCTCTTTTGATTCTGTACTCACTTGGAGCTGCCTTATCTTCTCCTTTATCCATTTTGCTCCCCCTGCGTTTTCTCTGTTGCTCTAACACTAATTTCTAACATTACTCTGTGTCTTTACTTCGCTCCTTACCTGAAGCAACAAATATCTTAAGATATGACATTCTACCTGTGCTTCTTACTCCCCCCAAATTATTTATGTTGAAGGGTGATTGCGTTAATCTGACTTCTGCTGTATTCTCATAGGTCTATATATTGCTTCTGGTCACTATGAAGACAGGATTCTACTCTTCGAGCAAAGCTGGAGAGCAAGCATGCAGACCTGGTATTTAGCCACACACCCAGGTCAGTGAGGATGAATGACATCTTAACCCTTCCATAACCTACCGCTACCTGAACATTCCAAATAGACTGGACAAATATGCACGATTGAAAGTAACCAGAAGCATTCAGTCTTGATCTAATACACAAAACCCAATGCAGAAACCCAAGAAATATAAAAATATCAAGCAATGCAACTCCTGAGAATCACTAATTCCACTATAACAAACTGTAGTGAATATAGATGGGATAGAATCCTAGCAAATAATTAAGAATGATAAGAACATTTCACAAAATCAAAGAGGAAACATGTAAGTCCAGAATAATCACAAAGAGAACACACATCTAAAAACCTGAAGAATAAAATAAAGAAGTCAATACAGGCTATTAAAGTGACATTCAATACAGAGAAATACTCTAAAAATGGGGGAGGTGGAGAATGGAAATGAAAAGCTCAGTAAGGAAAAAACCTTCAGGGGATTCACCAATAGAGTAAATTAAGTGGAAGACAGAATATCAGGGCTTGAATACAAAGTATAAATTAAGAAATTCAGACAATTACAAAAATAAAATGATAAGGAAGCACAACAGCACACCCAAGACCTAAAAGATGCCACAAAAGACACATTCTTAGAGATTGGAGAAGTTCAAACTAAAGGTTTAGAAACCATAGTCAATAAAATCATGGCAGAAAGCTGCTTAAACCTAGAGAAGCAATGATCAGTAAAACACAAGAGCCATTGAGAATGCCAGACATAAAGGACCAGAAAAGAAATTCCACACATCAAACTTTAAATAAAACATGAAGATTACAGAAATGAATTGAAGACTTCAAGAGTGAAGTGCCAAGTAATACATAAAGGCAACTCCATAGGTGTAACAGCAGATTTCTCAACAGAAATTCTAAAACCCGGGACGGCATGGGACAGTATATTTGAGCTTTGAAAGACAGTAACTACTGACCCTGATTACTATATTCAGCAAAATCATCCTTTATAATTTAAAGAAAAAGAAAAACTTTACATAATAAAACAAGCTAAAGAAATTCATGACCACTATGCTAGCACTACAGAGGATATTTTAAAGACTGTTTCTACTGTAGTGAAAGAAATATCCATGAGGTCACAGGAAAGAATAATTACACTGGAACAGTATATGAGCAAATAAGAAGGGGATACCAAATATCACAAAATAACAAAAAGACAGTAGCCAGGGCAAAGTTTTCAGTAATAACTACAGATATTAATGATCTTGATCCTCGAATCAAAAGGCATAGACTAGTAGATTGAATTTAAAAATAAGGTCCATCTATCTATTGCCTACAAGAAACCCACCTCACTGCAATATATGAGCACAGCTTCAATGTGAAAAAATGGAAAATGATATTCCACACAAACAGAATTAGAAAGCAAGCAGGTGTAGTAATACTAATGGCTGGCAAAATAGGCTTCAAAGCAAAATTAATTAGAAGAGATAATCTCATATTGATTAAGAGATCAGTCTACTAAGAGGATATTGTAATTGTAAACCTATATGCATTGAGTATTGATACATTAACTTTATAAAACAAACACCAATGGATGTAAATGTGCAGATTTACCTCAACACAGTAACAGTCCACTCTCAATCAAATTAACAACACAGTAACAGTGCTCCACTCTCACCAACAAACACGTCATCTGACAGACAAATCAAATTAACAAAAAACACCTAAGAACCCTCACAGCTAAATGCCACTGCAGACCAAATGGACTTAGCAGACAACTACAGAATATTCCACACAAACACTGCAGAACACATTTTTCTCAGAATCCCATGTAACTTTCCCTAAAATAGATGACATTTGAGGACACTAAACAAATCTTTAAAATACAAGAAAATTCAAAGGATTTCTTATATCCTATCTTTTTTTCAATTTTTGAAAATATAATTTAATTACAACACTTCTTCCTCCCTCTTTTTCCCCCGAAACTCTACCCCATGCCCCTCCCCACTCTCCTCCATTATTTCCTGTCTTATTGCAACAAAATAAAATCAATATCAAGAGAAACAATAGGACATAACTCATGGGGGTTGAACAAAATACTGAATTATAAATGACTCATCTAGGAGATCGAGAGGGCTACTGGCACACAGTGGAAGTAGGGTTAGGATATTTCTACCTACAAATCATTACATTCAAAAAAATCAGAGAGGTCTCAAATACAGTTTAGTGATGCACCTTCAGGCCTAGGAGAAACCAGAACAAGCCAAATCCAAATCAGTAGATGGAAAGAGATAATAAAGATAAGGCAGAAATAAATGAAATGAAAACCAAAAGAATAATATGAAGAATCAAGGAAATAAGGAGTTGGTTCTTCGCAAAGATAAACAAGATTGACAAACCTTTAGCCAAACTAACAACTGCAAAAGAAGACCCAGACCAATAAAATTAGATATCAAAATTAGATATTACTGTTTAGGTAGAAGCTCTGACTCAGGACCCTCCTCCCTTTCCAAACCCTGCCCCTCAGAAAGCCCACCCAGGGGCAGTCCCTCTCCTTGAGAGGCTCAAGACTGTACCTACAGGGTATTTAAAACCCAGACCCTAGACCTGCCATGGGGTTTCTTTCCTGCTTTCATCCCCTGAGAATCACCCAGGAGTTGCTTTGTTCAGATTAAACTTGGTGTTATTAATTCGGCTGGATTTGGCTTATTGCATTGGCGGAGAAACACACAAAAACCCAGGGATTTTCAAAATACTTATCAATTACAACAGATATCAGTGAAATTCAAAAGATCATTAAGGCATACTTGGGAAACTTATATTTGAGCTTGTGAGAAAGCTAGGTGATAAGGGTGCTTGTTAAGGGGCCTGACAACCTGACTTCAATATTAGGAACTCACCTGATGGAAAGGGAGAATCAACTTGGACAAGTTGTCTGTCCTCCCACCTCCCCAACCCCGTCTCTCCCTGTCTCTCTCTGTGTGTATTCAAAAAAATGAAAATACAGAAGAGCTTAATTTCTATATGCGCACACTTACAAAAATTAAACCTAGATGATACAAACAACTTAAATAGACATATAACAGCCAATGAGAAGGAAGCATAAATGTGAAGTTTCTCAAGGCCAGGCTCAAATGGATTCATTGGTAAATTCCATATGTGTAGTCAAAACACTCATGCATATAAAATAAAATAAATCTAAAAGCAATTAAAAGCACAACAAGGAAAAGATTGGCAAGGAGAAGTGATAGCCCATAGAATGTGAGAAAAATCTTTGTTACTTATACATCTGCCAGAGGATGAATATCCAGACTATATAAAGAACTTCAAAAAACCCACTAAATTCTGAAGAAGTGACAACCTAACCAATACTTGGAGTAATAAAATAAGCTTTTCTTAAAAGATAAGGTAAAAATGGCCCGGGAATATGGGAAATGTTCAGCATTCTTGGCCATCAGGGAAATGGCATCAAAACGACATTGAGACTCCATATTACTCTGGTCCAAACGACTGTAACAAATTAAAAAATGGCTTCTAAAAAATGGTGAGAGTGTGGGGAAAAGGGGACCTTTAGACACTGCTGGTGGGATATAAACTGTCCAGCCACTGTGAAAGTCGGTACAGGATTTCTCCCAAAAATAAAAGAATAGCATGACCCAGGCACTGCTCCTCCTGGATATAACAGTCAAGGATTCTAAGTCCACACCCGTGTTCACTGCAGTACTGTGCTCAGGAGCCCCATGATGAATCCAGCCTCATGCCTGTTCACATGAGCGGAGGAAGGGCTACAGCATGCACACACAATGGAGTTTCATTGGCCACAAAGGAAAGGAAACTGTCATTTTTTTTTCTGGAAAATAGATGCAAGAGGAAATCATCATATTAAGAAAATAAGCCAAACTCCAAACTATTAAAAGTCACATTTCCCTTCCTTAGAGATCCTAGGTTTTTATAAAATAGGTACACAAATGTTATGAGTATATAGGTGTAGGAGGAAGAGCCGGGGAGGCAGAGATCAACCGAAAGGGGTACATGAAGGAGAAGAGAGGAGAAATGGTAAAACCCATGGTGTACTTGAAAGAAATTGGCCTTACAAAACCCAATCCTATATGCTCTGAAAAGATGCAAATAAAGAATTAAACATATTTTTTTTTTGCATCTGTTCATTTATTTTGTATCTTTGTGCTTGAATGTGGGAAAGCGCCTGCCATGGCATCCCTGTGGAGGTCAGAGGACAGCCTGTGGGAGTGGTCTCTCTTTCTACCATGTGTACTCAGGGATAATATCAAGGTTAGCAGGCTTGGTGACAAGAAATCTACCTGCTGAGCCACCTCTCAGGCCCTTGATGCCAAGAGAAAAATTTTCACTGGGAAGAAAGGAAGAAAGAAATTTTGAAGGGAAAAAAAATGAAGGTTCCTCACAGGAAATTTTTGTTGTTTTGAGATCTCTCCTCGTCAGATTTATGACTTGATGTGTTTGGATTTTTTTTACATACCAGAATATCTTCAAAGAAGATGCACGTTCATTGTTCAGTTTAAAATTCTTCTAAAATGTGGAGCTTCTGTTTTGCACAGATTCAGTAATATTCATAATTGAATGTAAATGCACATATTATATGGTCACATGCGTGGGTTTCCAAGGATGGTCTCTCTCTTCCTTTCTGTTTGGCTGCATCTCTTTCCCTCTGGTTCCTACTGCAGCACCAACCCTTACCTTAGATAACCCTCATGACAGCCGAGGGCGCAGCCTGCCAAACTTCCTCCCTTCCACCCCTTCTGACAGACCCACGTACACACAGACATATGGGGACGTCAGTGTTCTCTTTTCTGCACGGCATTGCACAAAACGTGTTTTCCTGCATCTTGGTCTCCCCCCTTGATAATACTTCCTGGGAGTTGATCCAAGTCATCTGGTACACATTTATATCATTATTTTAAATGGCTTAAAAAAATTCCCCGGTACAGATACAAGGACATGTTTCCTAAGAGAACTAGAAACATTGCCCAAGATGTGGAACTCAAAGCCAGTGGGGTCGAGGCTCTGGCTGGATGTGGGGGAGGGGGCCTGTAAGAATGAAGGTGAAAACAGTGAGCAAAAAGGAAATGAACTGGCTTAAAACTCAGGTATAGCATAGTCACTATGGATACTGCACCCATAGGAATGAGAAAATATTGGGGAGAATGAGGTACCCAAAATGCTCCCTCCTGATGGCTGTCTCTGATGGGTAGGACCTAGGGACATGTTGCTGTCTTTTACCCACTCTTTGGTCTTGTTTGAATTTTATAATGATTATCTATTGGTTACACTATTCAGATAAAACAGTATAGGATTTCAGTTTTTTAAAAAAAAATGGATAAAAACCTCTCTGTGCATCCTTCTACTGGAACCTTCAGGGTATTAATGATGAACAAGAATGCCAAGGGCTGGGGATGCAGTTCAGTGGTTGAATGCTTGCTATGTAACATGTGCATGGCTCTAGGTTCTATCCCCAGCAGAAAAAGCACACACATGTGCACACACACACAGAGGCAGAAAAAGCACACACACGTGCACACACACACAGAGGTAGAAAAAGCACACACACACACATACACATACCCACACAGAGAGATATTAAATAATAAGATTATCCAATACAGAGGGACAATGCACAGTGTTGGTCAATGGGGTCCCTTAGACCCCCAATCAATACAAGTTATGGCCATTGCTCTTCTTCACTCACGGAAACAAGATGGTATACACTACTCACTATAGTCACAGGAGATGGAGCTACCTGGATGCTTCTGTGTGGGCAGTGACCTCCTTCCTAGGGATAGGAGGGGCTTCACTGTGGAAAGAGCAGGGACAGTTCCAGGAAGCAACATGGTGGGAGAAAGGCCAGAAGTGGTCCTGGGTGAGATGGCCTACAAGCCATCAGGGGATGCTAGTTGTGTGGTCCCCATATGGCTCTGCCTTACCCTACCAGGTAAACCTTGGCGTTGGCTTTCCCCACTAGGCGTCCTTTTCTTCTCAGCGTCTCCCAGACCTTCCAGTGCCATAGAGAAGTGGTCCCAACCTTCCTAATGCTGTGACCCTTTATGTGTTCCTCATGTTGTGGTGACCCCCAACCATAAAATTACTTTTGTTGCTACTTCATAACTGTAATTTTGCTACGGTTATGAATCATAATGTAAATATCTGTGTTTTCCAACGGCATTAGGCAACCCTCTGAAAGGACAGCTCAAGCCCCACAGGTTGAGAGCCACTGCCTTAGGGTCTTTTCTGGTCTGGTGTAACAGTACCAAGTGGTTTGAACTATACCAATTGACAATTGTGGCTGTGTTGCTTAGGTTACTAAGGCAGCTCTTACTCTTTCAGAAATGGCCAAGTCTCCAAAAGACCCGGATGGCAGAAATGCAAAGCCACCAGCACCTGGAAAGTAGGTGTGGTATTGAATGCCTGGGTGGCCTGTTCTTGCCCATACAAGTCACCCTCGTTGAGAGCTCCTAAGCCTCCGGCATATCAGCCTCATCTCTGTGTCGTTATAGAAGGAAGGAGGGAAGGAAGGAAGGAAGGAAAGAAGGAAGGAAGGAAGGCAGGCAAGCAGTAAAGAAAAGGCTCTGAGAGCTGCTGCTGTGTGCCTTTCTTGTTCTGGTAAGGGAACCTTCCTGGATTGAAAGGCAGGAGACACCCAAGGTCACATGATCTAGTCTCCTGTCTCTGGTGGCAGATACATACATAGTTCTGATACCTCCATCACAGGGGTTCTCAACCTATGGGTTGTGACCCCTTTGGGGGTTGAATGACACTTTCACCGGGGTCACCTAAGAGCACCAGAAAACATAGATATTTACATTATGATTCATAACAGCAGCAAAATTATAGTTATGAAGTAGCAACGAAAATAATTTATGGTTGGGGTCGCCACACCATGAGGAACTGCATTAAAGGGGGGCAGCATTAGGAATGTTGGGAACCATTGCCCTGGCTCATAACAGCTGCTTCTTCTGTCCTGCCTTACAGGTTTATATCCACGAACCAAGTAACCTTGGTCTCGAAGGACACACCTTCCCACATGCCCTCTCACCCACACGCGGTTGAAGTATCCACTGCACCCCAGGCTCAGCCCAGTACATACACATTTCCATACTCCATCTCAGTGATGGTGATGGTCTTGACGTGCCAGGCAAGTTCTCTCTTGGGGATGAATCGGTCCTCCCTGGCCAGGTGGCCCACGCAGAGGGAGGCGATGTCTCCCAAGAAGATGCTGTCAAACTCAAATGTGTCCGTGCTCCCCCTGCAGACAACCAAGACGTGATCTGTGAGCTGCCCAGGCCTAGTGATGGTGGCCAGGCCTAGTGAGGCAGGCAAACAGGGAAAACCTACTGTGTTCCAGGGTGGCATGGAAGGATTGTGCAATGCAGTAGCCAGCCTGGCATTCTGTGAGGGAATTGGGCTAGTTTTAAATCAAGACAGAGACAATGAAAAGTCTCCTCGGCTCCTGGGTTGCAGCATGTAATCACTAATCAGACTGGAACCTGGGGGAGGCTGAGGAGCTGGCCGGGTGTGGAGCTGCAGAGGAAGAAGGAAGAACCCTCTACTAAGGGCCAAGTTTTGAAAAATCTTACGATGAGTGTAGTGGGGTGTTGGGGAATCTACCTGGATGGAATCTGAACCTATGAGGACGTGGTAGTGAGGAGGCAGGGTGTGAGCAATCTCTTGGTACTAGTGTGAGGAGCACAGACTCTGTCCTCTGTTCCGGAGGGGAACTTGAATAAAAGGTTGAGTAAACAGAATGGGCCGTCCTGCCAAGCTTGCATGTTGGAACCTAATCCCGTGTGACAGAATTTGGAGCGAGGCCTTTGGAAGGTGAGTAAGTGGTGAGGGTGGAGACTTTATGAATGGAATCTTATAGAACAAGCCCCAGGGAGCTCCCGCACCCCGTCTGCTGCAGGAGGACACAGTGAGAGGACCCCCATCTGCAAACCAGGAGGCAAGTATCACCAAATCTGCCAGCAGCGTCAAGAATCTGGGAAGGAGATTTCAGTTTTTGTAAGCCACTCTGTTTCATATGGCAGCTTTCTGGGCTAAGATAAAGGAGGTTGAGCGGGGGTAGAGGGTGGGGGTGGGAGTGGGGGGATGGAGACTTTGTCATTCTGGCAGGAACAGAGATGCAGTGTTCAAGCCACTAAGGCCTCCCAGGAGAAGCAGGGGAGAACTCTGGGTTGGGACGTGAGATAATACGTTCAAGGGAATTGCTGGTCTGACACACAGTAGGTACTCAACAAGTTCTTTCTGGTTAGTCCATCTGTAAACTCCTCAGTGGGGGAGATTATTGAGGTCTCTGTATTATTCTCCCCACCCCCATCAAGCACCTTCCTTACTTCCGAAAGGCCCTTTGCCTGGAAGAATTCTCCACCAGGAACTCCTTGGATCTGTTCTTCCTGCCCTCCAAGATGAGCCAGACATTCTCTCTGGTTTCGCCCCCGTTGCCAGTTTCTATGACAATCTCGTAGGCTGCAGGGAGGAGGCGGGAGAGGGTCAGCAGCAGGAAGCAGTCGCTTGCCATCAGCCAGTCCTTCCTCCTCAGGGAATTTTCTCTGGCCTTGGGCCACAGTCTAGGTGTAGGAGGCAGGTTAGCCTTGCTGATACCCAGGCACTGTAATCCAAACTGGTTACTCCGGGACTGCAGTGGGCAACCTCTTTGTTGGCAGGTATGGGAACAGCAGCCATGGAGAAGGAAGCAGGTTAGGAGGGGCTCTCAAGAGATGTTGGGGCCTGGTTCTCACAGCCAATGAGGCACTAAACTAAAATGTAAGAAACCACATCCCCAGAAGCTGAGGGAAAAGAGACAGGCCTGGCTAAGGAAGGACCCTGCGAAGACCCAGCAGGCTACGGGCCCAGAGAGCACACAGCCCCATTTCCCTCAGCCTCACAGTAGCCCCTGCCTTGCTGTCCCGGACATGACTGCATAAGCCCCTCTCCACCAACCTCCATAGAAGGGATGCCAAATGTCATGAGTACCAGACAGGTGACTAGAATTCGCTTTCTAGCTCCAGGCATTGAGCTCAACCCTGACCACCCATAAGACAGAATACAACATCACCTTAGCCAAGGGCTCCTGGAGCCAGGGTGCCACTGGATTAGGGGAAGAGCTGTTTTCATGCCTTCTCCTATCTCAGCTCCTAGTGCTCGCTCTAGCCTCTGAGCTCCTCCACGCGCCCTCTCCCCACCTGAACGTGTCCGCTTCTTCCTCATCTCCTCCTGCTTTTTTCCATTCCGCCTTCTCAGGGCGGTGGATGCCAGTGCCCTAATTAAAGAGGTAGCCTGGTCCCCACCACTCCCGGTCTGCCTTGCCTCACTGTTCTTTCCTCTTATTCTCATCATCTTTAAGGACCATACACCATTTCATTTATTCATCGTGGCTTATTGGACTTCCTCCCCCTTCCCAAAGGCACACAAGCCCATTAACAAATTTCCAACTGCCAACAACAGTGCTCAGCACTTGGGCACTTAGCAGGCCCTCAGTAAATATATTTTTTAATTTAATTTATTTTTATTTCATGTTAATGGTGTTTTGTCTGCATGCATGTCTATGTACAATGTGCATGCAGTGCCTGAGGACGCCAGAAAAGGGTGCTGGACCTTGCACTTACAGACGGTTGTGAGCCACCATGCGGGTGCTGGGAACTGAACTTGCCTTCTGCAAGAGCAGCAAGTGCTCTTAACTGCTGAGCAATCTCTTCAAGACCCTCCTCCCCACCCCACATCCTATACCCCACACCCTGCTGTGTGGGTAAATATTTACTGGAGGAAGGAATGAATGGCTGAGTGGCCCCAAACAGGGAGCCTCCTGAGAATGGGAGCCCTTGAGCATGGCCTTGGAGGACAGCTGTGACTGAGGAGTAGAGGAGAGGATGGAGGGATGTTCTCAGGCAGAGGGAAGAACGTGAGCGAAGGCATGGCATGTGATCCAGCCCAGGGATGGCGCCAGCATACAGGAGTCCACGTCAAACGCTTGTCTGAGATGCCCCTTATACAGATAGAATAAACGGATGGGCAGTCTTGAGACAAGAACGATTCAAACACCTGACAGCCATAGAAAAATACAGGGGAGGGCAGTGTGCTTCCGGTTGGCATGCAAATTTTACTGCCTCCTTCCCCTTGTCAGGACTCTTATCCACCCGGGAGCTCCCTACCACATGCTGGGATGGGCAAAGTTTCTCCCTGGGACATGTCCTGTCCTTCTCTGAGGCTATTCAGCAGTAAGAATTCAGGTTGGCACTGCCAGCAGCCAGCTTCCTGGGGTTCAGGGAAACTGGCACTAACATTCTGGAGGAAATCCAGCTGAGAAGAGAGAGTCACTCTAACACCAGTGGCACCTCTGGGGACAGCAGAGTTGGAGCCAGAGCCACCTCAGGTTTCCAAGTTCTGGGAGCAAATACATTTCCTGAATCCAGTATGTGCCACGCAGAGTCCTTAACCACTCCCAGAAGCTTCCGTCAGGCCTATCAGAGGACGGAGGCTTCAAGAACACAATGAATGATGGATTCTACCACCCGGCAGAGCAGTGAGTGTTCCGTCCCCAGAGACTGGCCAGCAGAGGAACACACTGGAGCTGGAAACAGTGCAGACGAACTGACAAAGCAAACCTAAAGGGTGCTGAGAGTAACAGACAGGAAAATGAAAGGCTGGAAAGGCAAAGGCCCCCTTCAGCTTCCAGCAGGGCGTTCCAGCAGGAGAGACGTGTGTTCTCCTAGGTGTGTGTGTGTGTGCAAACTCGCACATATGAGCATGCACTTTCGCTGTTTAAGCCAGACCCTGGAAAAACCACAACGCGACGCCTGAAGCCTTGACCTTGGGATTATACGTGAAGAGTGTTGGCAGCTCTTGGCTCTGGGTGAATGTTGGAGTTGCCTGCAGAGGTGAATGTTCAGAGATGGCTGGAGCAGTTTCAGAGAATTGGAGATGAAGCCTGGAAACAGGAAGCTGGCTGATATGGGCTGATAAGATAATAGATCAGCAGCACCAGCTAAACCCAATAGGAAGAAGGCATCCTACAGCCATGTAGTGGGCCTTGCAAAACCTTTCCTTAATTTCTGACACAGAGGTATAAATTGCATCCTGACTTCTCTTTAGGGTAGATGTGGGGTGTCCAGGGCTCAATGAGAATGTGATATAGAATTCCTTCACACCAAGGAGGCTTTGTTCAAGACCAAGGGGCTGTTTAGATTCATAGACTGGGTGTCCAAAATGACCGCAGGGTCACCAGCAGGAAAACTTGGGAGGGAATGGGAATGTCCTCTGAAGTCAGAGTGAGGCATACTTCTGACTGTCCAGGGTGGATTTGTCTCGACCTTAAATAGAGGCAGATGAGAGTTGGGACCAAGTTCAGTGGGTGAGACCTCTGGCACCGGGGAACAAGGTTGTGGCTACCTGTCTGTCCCCATGTGAGCAGTGCAGGTTTCCATGACGCTTCCTGCACAGTCACTACAGTGACAGGTGGGGCCAGGCCCTCTCCTGGCTCCCTGCTTCTGCTCTCCTACTTTCTGCATCCGCAGAACTCACTCCACCCCCAACAGCCCGAATCCTGCAAGTAATGGCAGCCATTTGGCTGTTCGGAAATTTGAGAGGGAGAGTTGGCAACGGAGACGGGTTTCGTGGAGTATTCCTCTCCTAAACAACGATGGTCTGAGCAGTCCCCAGTGCTCATCCTGATGTTAGTCAGGAGCTTAAGCTCCCCCTCTGAGTGTCTCTCAAGGCTCTGTGTGAAGAGAGTGCCGCTTCCATTCACCCAGCATCCACAGCACTGCTGAGGGGGACACGCATGAGTGACACTGCCCTGGATCTGTGTAGGTCACAAAGCAAGGTATATCACCCACAGCATCCAAAACAAAACTGGGCACCCAATAACCCTTAGAAAGTCCAATTACAGAAGCAGAGAATGCATCCTCTAAACAGGTCGTAAGTTCTCTGCCTTACAGAAGACTCAGTGAAGGAGAGCTCTGTTTCCCTCTGAGAGAGTGTTCATCAATGTTCACACAATCTCCACTGCCTCTCAAGACAGCTAGGTCAACCATGGGGCAGTGTGGATGGACTGGCAGAAATGGTAGGTAGTGTCCAAGTCAAGATGCCGACTTCTCTCTCAAGTGTATAGTGGTCAATGATGCCAAGAGATGCCCAGCCAGGGCACGGTTCTCAGGTCCCCTTGCATCTGGTAGAGTCATGAGACTAGTTCTCCCAAACAAAACACAGGTTAGCATGCCAAGACGGCAGGGAGAGGGCCTTTGAGTTTCCTTTTTGCGAGAAATGTGGAAGCCACATCTTAGAAACGGCAAAGACACAGGTGGAAAGAGTTGAGGCCCCTACATCATGCCACGGAAGACAGCTCGCCTGACTCGCACATCGGACTCCACACTGGAGAAGTGAGAAGGAAACTCTGCTGTAAAGAGGCTGAGAAGTTGTTGGGGGGGGGGGGCGGGGCTGCCTTAATAACTGGCTGAAAAATCCCTTCTTTATTGGGATCTGCCTCTGGTGAACTTTCCTCTTATCACCAGGCCCAGATGCTGCCCTGGGTATCACAGAAATGTCTTCTAAAGTTTTGATGGCTGTTCACCTCAGGAACTGATCACTCATTCTTTCTCTGCATCTTCCATGGGAGAAGGTGGCTGGTGGGAACCCTTGCTCTCCCTGACTTCTGTTTCTAGAAACTCCAGGTTGGCAGACATCATCACACTCGCCAGTCAGAACAATTCATGACGTAAAAATAGCCTGAGAGAGCGTCACAGCTGCCCTGCCTGGCCCTTGGGTCAGCTACAGTCTGTCTTCAGTGGGGTTTCCTTCGCTAATACCTGTGATTCAGGGCCACGAGTGTCTTAGCAGTTCTAATAATCCACTCTTTGGGAGTTTATGGAGGAATTTCCCCTGCAGACACATAGACCCATCTCGTTCCCATTCCATTCTCTACCTGCTCTCACATATACCCCTGTCCTGTTTGAGCTAACCCCTCCTCAACTAGAAAAGCCAGCCCTGAGGTCACAGTGGGCTGGGCCCACACAGTCCCACCACGTACTGGTCTCTTCCAGCTCCTCACGGATCTCATTGTTGGCACATGCGAAGTCGCGGACGGTTTGTCTGTCACCCTCACTCTTGGACAGCCAGCAGTCACACTGGAAGCGGAAAGTCTCATCACGGGAGTTGTCCTTCACGTCAACATAGCTCAGGTGCCAGCCGGGAAATATTCCTGCAGAAGAGAGCACTGGGAGTGGGAAGTGCCCCCTCACCTCCCTTCTTCCATCCATAACTGTGTGGCCCTGGACAAACTCCTTGTCCTCTCTGTGGTCTGGCATCCTTGTTGATGGAGTGACTAGTCGGATTAGGTGGCTTTAAGTACTCCTCCAACCTGAGGAACACAGGGGTCTTTGCAAAACGCTTAGAGGACTTATGCATCAGATTTCAGTTGTGGGCTCCAGGAAACTGCCACACCTTCCTCCTGCAAACTTCTTCCACTGAGAATCTGTTCACCATGGCTATTTCACTAAGGGACAAGGCTTGTTGCTTCTATCTGATTTATGATGGAGGTTTTCTAGACCTTTCGGGAGCCCCTTAACTGAAGGATGGATTCTGTTGCTTCCTGATCTGTGTTCTCCAAACTCCTGTCAATGACCCCATGCATCAGTTCAGGTATTAGCTCCACCAGAAACCCTTCCCCGATGTTCCTCCATCACTCTAGAGGCTACATCAAGAGTCCCCCATTCTCCGTGGTACCCTGCACCTATCTTGGGTACACATGTTCAGATTCGTGTTGCCCTTACTTACAGGGATGTGCATGCACAGACCGAGTCTCGGTAGGGTTTTTAGTGCTCAGTCTAAATGGGCAGATCACTGGCTGCTCCATGAATGCGGAGTGAATAACTAGGGTTTGCACTGGGGGTTCTTGGCTGACCTGTTCAGCAGTCATTGAAGGCCCCAGAAGATGCCATTTGGGGGGATGTGTTCCTGAATTTGACACATCTTGGGCTGATCATGAGCACGGAGCTGCTCTGTTGTAACTGGCAGGGCTTTTCTCAGAAGTGTCCCCACCACAGCAGAGCTGGCGTGTGGGCCAGTGTGGGTTTGCTTTGACAGCCGCGTGTGACTTTACCACTGTCTCCGTCATTCTCTAACTCAAGCTCACTCGAGCGTGGAGCATCACAGGTCTCAAGCTCACTGAGAGCGTGGAGCATCACAGATCCCACAGAGAGAGCAACCGCAGGGCTTTGGCAGGCTGTACCATAATGTTTGCTACTCACAACTGGTCCACAAAGCAGTCCCACAAGCAGCACACAGCTGGGTTCTACTCCCACACCCCTGTCTCTCAGGACACCTAGAGCTCTGAGGCAGTTCCACAGTTACAAAGAAACCTTTCTCTCAGATCAGATACCATTTCAAAGTAACATCTCTGGAGATCCTGCTTCTGTTCCCAAGAGTATATGAAATAATTACAGATTTCAGGATGTGGATGTTACATTCATGGGTGGGATGCATATGCTGGCATTATTCAAATTTTCAAAAATATTGCTTGAGATTCTCATATATAAGCATACAGGGTTTTGATCATATCTGCCCCATCCCCTCCAATGCAATCGTTCTCATGTTCCCTCTCCAGAGTTCTCACCACTTCCCTCCCACTTCATGTATTCTTTCAGAAACCCACTGAGCATGCTTAGTGCTGCCACTATGCAAGTGGGCGTAGGCTATGTGCTGGAACATGGGTAGCCTGATCAGGGGCTGAATCTGAAGCTGGCTCTCTTCCCCCTAGCACCCACCAATTGGTAGTAGCTCTGGAGCTGGGAATTTGTAAGCCCCTCCCCATGCATGCTGGGATTTAGGCTGACTTGCTCTTATGCTGGTCCTCTGCGTAAAGCCACGGCCCTGTGAGTTGACATGTGCAACCACAGCCACGTTCATAAGAGACTATTTCACAGAAGCCTTCATAAGATACTATTCCACGTTCATAAGATACTATTTCACAGAAGCCTTCTGCTACCTCTGACTCTTACAACCTTCCTTCTCCATCTTCGTGACAATCCCTGTGCCTCGGAAGTTAGGGTGTGTGGCATAGATGTCACACTAAATCTTGAGGACTCCACGTATTCTCTGTGCTTTGACTGGTTATTAGTGTCTGTACTATTAACATGCAAAAAGACGCTTCTCTGATGAAGGCTGAGTGATATACTAATCCATTTGTATAAAGGTAACTGTGGAGGGGGCAGTTTAATACTGTGTCCATTAAGCTGAATTCTCCCCTGGGGCCTACTGCCTGCCCAGCCGTGGGTTCGTGGCCCAGTTCACAGTATAAGCTATCAGTTCTGTCTTGTGGAATAGGTCTTAAATCTAATCACAAGGCAGTTGGTTACCCTCAAAACACTTGTGCCAATATTGCAGCAATGGGCATAGCATGCCAGCCTAGTCATTGTTGTACCTTTCAGTACCATAGCTGGGTAAGACTGCTGTTGACTTTTCTCTCCTAACATAGCACCTCTGGCGCTATGGAAGCTAACCAGCAGGGAGGAAGGCTCCAGCTTAGAACCATACTGATTGCTCTGGGCCTTCTATGACTCAAGTATATCATCGCATCAAATTAGCAATGGCAATAGTTTGCGTGGTTTTATGGATTTATGAAACCCCCAGCCCACACTTGGCACTCGGCTTTGTGCTTCATAGCCTATGACATCAGGAGAGGCATTACTCCCTGGTACAAGGTGACTCCATTTAGACTCCCTTTATAAGTTGTGCATCTATTTTAGGACGCTCCTACAGCTGTAGGTTTCATATGTCTTTTACAAAGGTCTTTGGTGTTGTTTATGTCTCACTGTATTTCTTTCTTTTTTTTTTTTTTGTGAAATCAGATCTTCACTGAAGAAGGAGTGAGGTGTAAAACACTGTCACATCAGGCAGCCGTAAGGTGAGTTAGCTTATTCGTGAACTCTCTTTGTACTTGATAAATCTTTCTAGCTTTTCTACAAACTAGGGCCCATCCCACCTGTAGGTTTATGGATTGGCCGCATGTTGGAGGTGGTTCCTGTTAGACATGAAGCTGACCACGGAATTATGAGCCTCCATGCGTGCAGCACTGGAGTGATGGAATGTGACGGTCAGAGCCTTTCTCTCGGGGCGTCTCAGTAGAACACAGAAGGGAGGCACAGGCAGAGGAGACACATTGCTGGCTGGGTTGAAAGAGATCCACATGGAAGAGAAGCTGGGCTTTCCCTCACCTTGTGCTCGGCCATGAGTAGTGTGTGTGTGGGGGGTCGTCTCAGCCTCACCCAGTTCCCCTTTGCTGTTAGAACTCAGCAGTGCAACTCTTTTCCCTAAACCAAGACTCCTTGTATTCTCTGTTGATTTTCTTGCCCTGCTTTGGAAATGTTGAGTGTGTCGGATAGAGTCTAATGCCCATCTGATGACCCTAAGTACCTGGTGGACCAATAGGGAATTGCCTGGAACTAGCTGTTAGAGAGCTCACTTCTTGCCAAGTCCCTCTTTCGACGTCCCCATGTGTTTACACACACAGAGGAAAGGCCCCGCACAGGTCCCCACGGTGGAATACAGACGTGTGTCCCTTTATTAATCAGAGATGCACCGATCCCAAAATGCTGACCTCGTCCTTGCTGCTGGATAGCTGCCGAATTCCCCAACTTTCTATCTTCTGCATGGTGCTCTTAACAACACCCCACACACCATAATGGTATTTCAAAGTCATGGGTCAGCTTTTGCCACATCACCTCATAAACCCTCCAGAGGCTTTCTTATCAGTCCGAGAAAAAGTCCCAGGCTGCTCCCCAAGGACAGCATCCCTTTCCACGTCTCTACTCTGCTACCTGAACTGCACTTCTGATACCTTGATTAACAGGATCTTGCTTACCCACTGCCTGAAGGAATGATCTCCAGGCTCCAGGTGCCAATGCTGCCTCATGGCTGAGGTCTCTGGGAAAGGGCCTCTGTTTGCAGGATTTCCTGAGGCTTCAACACTCACTCTGTCTCCACGTGATCACCCCTAGCTAACCTGAAGCCACTTTGTTTTCTCATCATTCTCTATCATATTGCTTGTCTTTGCCAATGAGGTTGCAAGCCCCTGAGATGAGGAGGCTGGCCTGAACTACGGTGTGCTATCCAGTAAAGATTATTACACAGTGAGTCCACACCAAGTCTGAACAGGAGAGCACAGGAAGACAGCAGATGTGGCAGTTCTAGAAGGGGAATTTACAGCCTTACCTAGGAGGTAGGTCTGTCCTAGTACTATTGAGTATTATACCCCGAATGTCCTAAAATTCACTTTGAGTAGAAGGTCGAGCAACTCTGGACCACTGTGGGGTGCCAATGTCCCAGATAGGAGGGGACAGGCTGAGTGAGAGTGAGGCTGGTAACAGTTTGGACCTCCACATGCTCCTTGCTGCCCATGAGTCTAGCGACTTTCTGCGTCTGGTGGGATGAAGGGCTCCATGCTTCCTTTAGCAGCTTTCAATCAACCCTTATATGATAGATTCATTAGGCCTGCATTTGGCATCTCCTCTCCTCATTATGGCGACAAGTTATTCCTCTATGGTCAGTACCTGCCTCTTCTCTGCACAACATGGCTCTGCTCTAACGGCCTCTGAGCCTCTCTGCTGTTCCCATGCCCACACTGCCCCTTGTTTAGCTACTTTCATCATCACCATGACCCAGCTGGAACAACTTAAGGAGGGGTTCATTTGGGTTCACTGTTTCAGAAGATAGGGTTCTCCCAGCAGGGAAGGCAGGGTGGGGTTTACACAGCAAGAAAGCATGGTAAAGAATCTTACAGGATGGCAGACTCAGAAGAAATGACAGCCGTCCCTATTTCCTCCAGCCAGGTCCAGTTTCCTAAAGGCTCCACAGCCTTCAAAGTGGGGCTGCTAACTGGAGATTGTTTAAAATATAAACCCATGGGGGATGTTTCCAGTTCAAACTGTATCATGTTTGTACTCTTGGCCATGAACACTGATATCCAGAGAAATCTTTGCTGCTGGGGTTGTAACTATGCCTTAATTCTGTTAAGATTATTTTTATATTCATGTCTGACTTTTCTAACTTCAAGGGTTGGGAATTGTGTCTTATGACCTCTTAATCGTATTACTTAACATTCCACGATCATAGAAGCGATAAATTATTTTCACTTTCAAAAAGCCAACTGTCAGTATTTTTATCCAGTGCAAACCATTGAGATTCTTCTCAGGTAGAAAGATT